AACCAAACCGTTGATATCATCCTTTAGACATACTCTTCAGCGTCAACCCTCTGGCCACTTTATGTGTCATCTGCAAATTTCCCAATCATGCCTCCCACATTTAAGTCTAACTCATGAATATATACGACAGACAGTAAGGGGCCCAACATTGAGCCCGTTAGATAAGGTTAGGTAAGATAATCAGAGATTTGGAGCGAAGACAAGCAAGTGGGTCAAGGGTACTAATGAATATACAGCCATACACATTAGGAGCAGAAATAGAACACTCAAGACTGCTCTGCCATTCAATAAGATGAGGGCAGATCTGATTACTCCACATCTTGCCTACCCCTATAACCTTTCAACCCCTTGCTTTCGAAGAATCCACCTTAAAAATATTCAAAGACTCTGCTTCCCCCACCACCGTTCGAGAGCAGAATTCCAAGGACTAACAAACCTCTGAGAGAATAAATTTTCTCCTTTATCTCTACCCTAATGGGTGACCCCTTATTTTTAAACAATAACCCTCAGTGCTAGACTCTGCCACAAGAATAAACATCGTCTCCACATTCACTCTATGAAGAACTTTCAGGATCTTATTTTTCAATCAAGTTACCTCTTACTCTTCTGAACTCCAGTGGATGCAAGTCTATCCTTTATTGACTGAATTGAAATGGATGAATGAGTTTGAGAGGCTGAATCGCCCACCATGTTTCTACAGTATGACTATTTTTGCATGACTTTTGCCTGAGAGACAGTTTCATTTTTGCTTTTATATTTTTGTCAGCTTCTCTTTATAAGCAAATAAATTTTCTTGAATTTGGAAATGCTCAGTGTGCACATTTGCAATTATATTTCTACTTTATTCAAATGCACACATTGCGAATGTTCCTGTAAGCAAATCCTGACTGTTTTTTTAAAGTTTACGTTTATAAATTTGCATGAGACAAAGAAATTTAATCTAAAACAAGTACAATGACGTATTTGCCTGCGATAAACACCAGGCCATAAGCAAATGTTGTATACAGATCAGGATGGAATGTGCATATCTTATCTTTGTAGAGTTAGATTCCAGCTTCAAAATGATGTTGCAATCTCAACAGTTGGCTCTTTGCTTCTTGTTCAGAACAGAGCCTGAAAGTTTGATGCAGTGAAACAGTGCACCATTCAGTAATTGAAGATAAGTTCAACATGGGCTTGTTTTCAGTTCATACAATTGATTTTTGAGTTTACTCTCATACACTTTCACATTGCTTCTTAATATGAATTGCCCAGTCAATTTTTACTTTTCACATTGTACATAAGTAATATCATTTTATATTTTTATAGTACAGCCTCACACATGGTGCTTAGCAATGTATATTGGGGCTTACAAAATAATAAGTTCCTACACAAAGTTACAGGAAAATTTATAAACCATTCGTGTACAAAAAAACATACCAAGTTGTTTCACAGTACATAAAGAAAATAGACACTGAGCTAAAGAAGGAGAGATTATTCTGGCCAGAAAGGTACTTTCTAAAGGGAACTTGACATGGGAGGTGAAGATCAGCTGTCAAATATGGGGAAAGAATTGATGCAGTAGTCAAGAGGCTTGTGCCAGAGGAATGGAGACAATGGGTGGAATAACACCAAGCCCTGATTGACATGGGTTCCAGCAAGAAATCTGTGGGAATTGTAGGAGAAGTTGAGTGAGGTCTATCTCGACATAGAGCCGCTTGCTGTGTTTTCCAACTGAACTCCAGGTGTCAAGATGAAACTCTCAAAAGGTAACGGTGAGATGCAATTTAATGGGGATTATTGCTCGTCCTCAGCCTCATTAACTGCAAATCTCACCTCATTAACATGCAGCTTTTTCTGTTGGACCATCCACCATGAAAATTCCCAGTGGGTACCTGGCAACTCCAATTGGCCCCATGCTCCTTTGAACTGGCACCTTGGACATCCGGCACCAACATTTCAGGTCACACTTCAGGACAGAGGCCATGCACTTCCAATGTTCAACCTGAGTCAGTTTCTTTGTGCCATCATGGTGCATCTTTAATCCAGTTATACTACACTATTGCACTGAAATGCCACACACTGGAACATACTAGCAACTATATTTGGAATGTGCCTGCAAGGACACTATGTTGCAGGCCAGGCACCCAGGTCACACACTGGACCAGGCTACATCTCAGAGCTGTTGTTTGCCCTTATAGGGCAACACTAACTTTGCACCTACCTGTGTGCACACAGCAATCCTGTCTTCCAGTTTTTTGTGTCTTACCCCCTCATCCAGAGCTGCCAGGATCAGAGTACTACTCTTTAACCTTACTGTTTTGTGCAGACACGCAGCCAGGAAACCAATCGTGATTGAAAGCGGTCCTCAGGTAAGAGGGGGGAGACAATATTCATGACTTAGAGACTGCAGGCTGAGAATGAGAGAAAGGGAGGGATTGACTAAGGTGAAGGTGAGTGCAACAGCTTTTAGTCCTGGTACAGCAGCTCAGAGGGGATGCACGATTACTGGTATGGCAGTTTGGAGCAAGGGAAGATATTGCAGGCATGCAGGATGTGAGCTTCAGTGGGAGGGGTGTGCAGCTGCAGAGGGACAGTGAGCTTGAGGAAACAGAGAATATGTAGCACTTACACTGATGCAGTGCAACAAGGTCATTGACCTTCTTAAGGTTCTGCCAGCTGATCCTTTGGGCCATGGGACTGACATGGGTGATGACCTTGGACAAGGTTGCCAGGGAGTGGTGTCATGGCTTCCTCTGGTAATCCTCAGAAAGAGGGGTCCTCTCCTCTGCACCACCCCCATCCACCAGGATATTCAGATCCCCGATGGTGAATCACAATGCGTCTTGCCCTTCTCCAACATCTAGGAAAACTGTCCATCACTGAGCAGGTTAAATTCCGAATGCCAGCACTTGTCCGACAGCACAGTGGCCTTTTCAATATGGCACTGCTGCAAGGGAAGCCAGTCTTTCAGCAGACTTCGCTGAGTGGGTGAGGGTGAGTTGTTTTGGGAATGGCGTGTGTTAAAATGTGGCCAGAATTGAGCATGAGGGACACCAGGGGGCAGGATAGATAGCTAATGAGGCAAGTTTGGTGTGATATGCTAAGAATAAATCCCTCCAAAAAACTCATCGCAACTTGGGCTATGCCAATTAAGAGGCTCCACCCACTACATCAAAGCCCTGTCCACCTGAAATGTCGTATCATTTAAAACTTGCTGTGATTATAATGGCCTGACTTTACACAGTGAGAGGTTCCAACGCTGCCCTGTGTAAGAACCGCTGGCGAACCAGCCCCCACTTGACCACCTCATCCCACAGCTATGTAACAGCCATTCAGGCTATTGATTGGCTCAATCAGGGCCCTCGCAGCAACTGTGCTCAGTGAGGGAAATGGGAGGGCAGGGCTGGATTTGAGGGAAAATGCAGGGGTCGGAAGACCTGTGAATTGGGGTTTTTTGCGGACTGGGGTTGCAGTCCTGTAGTGGGAGGTATCCTTTCCTGTCCATCAGCCCAAGTCTTGAAAGAATCCATGCCGGATGCTTGACATGTCTCTGTTCTATCCGGGAATAATGAGAGAAGGCCCTTAAGCAGCCAATCCAAGCTAGTGTGTGGAAAATGATTCCTTTATCAGACTTCATGATTATTATATCACATCTCAGACCTGTAACACTCTGATTTTTTGTAAGGTGAATTCACACTACAACTCTTTGCTGCTGCTACTCGTGTTTAGTTATTTGTAAGGGCAGCAATATGAAAGTATCCCAGTTTCACCAGTATTGAGGAACAAGATCTATAACAATCAGACAGTTCAGTGGATAAAAAGCCCACATCGTGCTGTATGACATGTTAGGATGTGATGTTGATTTAAATATGACTTGTTGTCTGTGATGTTCCTGTATGCTGACCTCCTGGTTTTGAATGATGTGCACAGAGGGGAATTGGACAAAGGGTTGGCATTTCTACACAGGAAAAGGTGAAAAATAAAAACCATCCATACCCTATGGAGATTGATTGCCTTTTTTATTGTACTTTTGTGCACAGGATATTGGCATTGCTGGCTAGGCCAGCATTTATCGCATATCCCTAAAGGTCCCTACAAGGGGCTCCCATTTTTGCTCATTCTAGCAGAATAAGGTCAGAATGAAGAAAAAAGTGAGCTGCATGATTCTGTTTAAATTCAGTGTTTTGCTGGTGATGAAAGTTCATGGGAAATCTCATCATTGTGTTGAGTGGCACAAACATGAGAGAAAGTAGCTTTCCATTTTGAAAAGCAGGATTTTGGTATCTGAGTTGACTTTTAGATACCTTCCAGATGGCCTGATCAAAACCTTCCCTCCTTAGATGAATAGTGAACAAGTGCCAACCCCACTGCTCATCTCCCAACTATGGAGCAAGACTGAGGAAAATCTAGAATAAAGGAAGAGACCTTTTCAAACAGCAATTGCAGACATACTGAGAAGTGACCTATAAAGATACACATCTTGGAGCATTTTGAGTTACAAATTTATCATCTGGCAATACCATTACATCAAAAATATATTAGATAAAATCTGTTTTAAAAATGTTATTAAACTTGGAGCAGTTACACTTGCCATTGTTTCAAAATAGAGTTAAAGTAAATGCTTAGATGGCTGCAATGAGAGAGTAACTTGAACCAGACATCCCTTCTTGGAGGTAACCATATTTGTCCTTTGCTGAACCATGAAATGCTTTTAATAATGGACCAAAATGTTACTTATTGCCTCAGCTTCGTAAGCAATTCATAAAGTTAACAAGTGTACATGTGAAAAGGAAAACTGATTTAAAGAAATGGTACTGAAATGGAAAAAGACGATCATGCCACAAGTTTAATTTGCCATAATGAGAAAGGTTATGTTTTCCACTTAAGGTTTTCAAACATTGCCATGTTTCACCAGGGCAGCAACTTACAGTTGAATTATTCAGATGGTTCATTCAAACAGAATTTCATCTGTCTTTGTTGCATTCAAGCAAGGTCATATACTGCAATCTCTTTTTCAGAATCATCATAATCATTCAAACAGCACTACAAATGTGAAGGCCCATTCCAATCATCACATGAATTGCCATCCAGCTAATTCAAACTCTGGAGGAAATAGCTAGTCCTCAGCTCATCGTTCGTGTGGTGATTCTTTGTATTCTTCAGCTTTTCCCATTTTCTGGAACTATTTAGCGGAAAAGCACCAGTTCCTGGTAGGGTATTCATTCCACACGACAGAGCCGCTCCATTTTTGTTGGTCTAGCTGCCTCACTTCCTCTCAGGTCTGTCTTGCAGGTTGGGATCATGACATTTGAAACAAGATGGTGTCTCCTTAGAATATTGCAATAGCAAATCAATGAAAATGGCTACTTGCACGTATTTAAATATAGCATTATACCAGAACTGTATTTTGTCTTTATTAAAAAAAAGGAGGTTTTGTAAATTTCTCTATAACTGTCTCAGTTTACATTTTGTACATTTGTATTTAAAAGTAAGTCAGAATCAGGATGTATATTTTCTGCCCAGCAGCTGTAAAGCCATGTGCTGATTCCACCAATGAACATCTTATGTATTTTTATGAATTGTGATTTAAGACTTCCTCAGCATTTAACAATGAAAGAGAACTTTTTAAATCTGCAATAGAACAGTTTTTCATATTCTTTTGCCATATCTGCAGTTATTTTATATTTTTGTAGTTTGTCTTACCCTGAAATTTTATTAAATGTTGCTTTCATTTGTATTGCTTTTTATTTCATTTTTATTTAACAAGTACATCTTTCCTATGATTTCTCTGCAAGGGACTTTTTAATCAGAGTGAATGTATTTTACAATTTTTAAGGAGCTTTTCATAGCATGTAAAATATTCAACAGGGTTTTCAAAGTGAAAATGCAAATTTGATGGGGAAAAGAACCTACTTATGACATAACTAAAAGTGAATTTGGTTGAACCCTTATACCACCTAAACATGTCATTTACCTTGGGCTAGTTGGAATAACATCTTATTTACTTGTTAAGTGTTGTGATCTGTATGAAACTAGTCTCATGGAATTTTAGATAATAGTAGGGAAATGTGGCAATTTGGGCACTGGAGAATTCGAATAATGAGACGTGCTGTTGAATTGGATTGTTAACTGGAAAGGAATCTTAATTTGGTGTGGCTTTTCAGTCCTGGCCCAGCTACTGGGAGGGGCAGTGATCAACCAGAAGTAAGGATTATCCCTTTGAGGGGAGTTGAAATGGACAGCCATTCTCAGTGATTCTTGTACATCTATTGATAGATGTATTGACAGAGCTATGGATTCACATTTACTTTGGATGATGATCTAAAAGCTGATTATTTAGAAAGAAAATAACGTGCAAAGGTGTTTCAGACACTTGCAGCCACCAGCACCTCCCCTGTCCCCTCAATCTCTCTGGCTCACTTCCACTGCCCTATCTATGTATGTTGTGGATAGAAGAATATATGGACCAAAATTAATTGATATTCATCAGTGTTATCAATAGACAAGTCTGTAAGCTCCACTGGACTTAAGGATGTGTTTCAGACTTACCAATACCCATGCCTCTTTGGTTTTACATAATGTACGTTTTGTGTCCTTAATCCCTCCTAGGGGTTTTGCAGTTAAACATTTTAGTGCATACCCTCTACCAAAATTGATGATTATTTGCACTCATAGAAAAGGCTGCACAGCAGTAGGAGGATGTGTTGACAAATGATGCTACCTTTTAGAGAAAAATATACAAATGGTGAATTATAGAGTAAAATTAAAGCTGAAACTAATAATTCGAAAGTTTTTTTCACTCCTCAATTCTGGGCACATTTATTTTCATAATCTTTATGTATAGTTCAAATATCGTCTGGTCATTTATAAAGGTGAAGATTGTACAGTCAGGTGTGGTGTAAGGGTTAACTCTACCAATGTGACCGTCTACTAACGTCCACAAACATTAGATGAATAAACATTTACCTTGATGATATTATTTTGTATACAGTCAATTCCTGTTAACTGAATAAGTATTGATTGTAATTGTATTCAATTTTTTTAAGTTTACGGTAGATCTTAGTAAGAATCTTCAGCAGGTCATATCCCATGTGTAATGTCATCATAATGGGAGATGTTCTGAAATCAAACCAGTTTTCCATTCTGTTTAATTTTCTGTAATTTATGGAATGAACAGTAATGTTTCACTACAATTAATTGAGTTGTATTGTTGGGTAACAGATATTATAATATTCACTTAACAGGAATTTACAACTTTCATTAATAAAATAAAAATAGAAGTTAGAAAATTCTTTTTCTGCTTTTTTGCCATCATTCTGAAATGTTTACTTGACAGATATTTACTTAACTTGAATTGAGTGCTTTCTAATAAACATCAGCTAAAGCTGAGTTCTCTTCTGTTTTGAACTTACTGTTGTTAACATAAAATCCATTTTTAAGTTCTTTAAATACAGCATTTATTATGCCTTAGGGTTATCAATGAATTCCACTCGTTGTTACCATCCAAAGATACCTTGAGATGCTGGTCTTCAGGTTTGCTTGTAAAATCCTGATGATTATGATAGTGTCATGTAGTGATGAGGGTAGACAGTTTTTTGGCTTGCTGATTGGCAAAATACTGGACAGCTCTTAGAAGATGAGTAAGATTTAAAGTTATTGATAGGAGTAGTAAACGAATAGGAAAAAATAAACACGCAATGTACACAAATAATTATGGAAGGAGAATGACTTTTTTCTGTGTAGGACTTGGAAAAGCTGTTTATTTTTGGACTCCATTGCAGGATGAGCTGGAAGCACATACAATTCACCATTTGATTCAAAATAAATGATCTTGCAGCTAAAAACAATTTAGAAATGATGTAATTTCTTCAGTAATAGTTTGACCTGTTAAATCTGTTTGGCAGAGTACTTGTACCAACAGTAGAGTTTATTTAAGTGGATAAGATTTACTTTGTCCATCTTTACTAAAGTAATGATACATGCAAGAGTGGCATTTCATATTAAATCCTACATGATTTGCTTTTAAATATTCTCCCTTCTTTGCATTTTGTGTGACATTCTTAACATATTTAATTTATATCTGCATATCTTCACCTTGGGTGCGAAAACAAATTGTTAAACTATTAAATAGCTAAAGCCTATTGTCTATTAGATGTTTCATGAGATCTCCCACTTATTAATACTAATTTTCTGAGGTCTTAAGTCTCTCTAAAAGCAAGAAATGTCCAACTTAACAAATAAATACAAATTATCAAGTTAACCTTGAGGGAAAATGATACATGAAGTTTTGTTTTCAAATTGTCAGAATGAAAATTGTGGAGAACTTTTTAATCATTCTGTTATCTGGTATTAATGTCAGAAGGTCTGTTTTAGACAAACATTTCCTGTTTGTAATAATTCTTAAATGAATGATGTAATTGTCACTTTTTGTATCAGTGTGAGTTTATATGTTTTCCAATAGAATGATTACTGCCATTTGTTCTGTATTAACAATATCAATCAATTACGGTATCCAAAGGTTTACAGCTTCTTTTCAGGGAATTACACTTTCATCTTTTCCCTCTGGTTTAGGATGGTACTGAGGACCATGGCTTCTGTCTTCTCTGCCTGCTCTCCATTCTTAGTAACTAATGTCCAAAAAACGCACAGTGCTGCTGTAACTAGATTAAAAACCGTTGTTTTTAGTAAAATAAAAACAGGAACATTTGAATTGAAAGAAGAAAGTACTGTATCTTTGATCTGTAAATTTAAAATGATTATATGTCTAAATACAGTTGTTGACATTTCTGGATTTTCAGAACTCCTGATTTTGTTTGTCTCTTCGAGATTGTCTTTAATGGTCTGTTGATTTTTACTGCAAAACTCTTGACAACGTTTTCTCAATTTTGCTTTGAGGAAAAGGGTGCAACTCGTTGTAGGCTTTGAAAGCCTAAAGATGTAAGAGATAATGTTTTAAAAAGCCATTTTAAACAACATAGAAGCTTCTGTCTGAATAAATACATCCTCATTGTCAGTTAAAGAAGTGATGTAATTAATGTCAATGAACATGCGTACAGCATTTCTACGTGCACAAAACTGTATGGATGTATTGTTTCTGCCAACCCCAAACAGAAAGATCAACCAAATGATACTCTCTTCACCATTCCATTACCAATATTTTTAACAGTACCTGCAAGTGGCTTGGGTATGGAAAACAGTGCTGAAGTTTTGAATTCTTGTGCACTTCCGGGGGTATAAAGGGCAGAAGAAGCAGCATTTCAGATAAATAATCTGGGTCAAATTAGGATCAACATCTTCATAATTTGTAATTGAAGTAATAGTTCATACTGCCAGCACGTGCTCTCAGCGGCTGATGTTCTTATGTACTGGCTTTACTTTGAAATCATCACATCTCCATATATTGAAACATATTTACCCCTAACAGAACACAAATTACTGAAGTCATATATAAGCCTCTCATCTCATTAAATGTTCTAGAAAGTTGAATTTGAGTTAATTATGTCTGCAGCATAAATAACAGGTGTATTCATTTTACATTCACTTTCACATAGCTTAATCTGCCCAGGGAACAGTATATTTAATTTTGCTTAATGTAAGAATAGCAATGGTCCAATAAATATGAGCATTGTGAATTTATATACTAATTGTAATGCAGCATAATTGGTCTGCAACCTTATTCCAAAAGTAAATCCTTCTGTTGTTGATGGAGATGCAGCAATGTAGTATTACTGGTCAATGCCAATAATACTACATTTGACTAAATTTGAGTGGAAAACAAAACAATTGCATTTATTATCCAAAGTCATAACTCAGTTGGGATAATGTGCTCAAAATCAGGCCACAGTGTTCTTGTGAAAATTTGATTTAACTACTGAATTACTTATCTGCCTAATTCCAGTTAAAAGAATATGCGCACAAGTTTTTTCATTAACAAGAAGACAATTAAACTGTTTTTAACTGGTGACAAGAAAGAAACATGAATTGCTAACTTATCACTACAAACATAAACTCTGCTCCTTTTAAAAGGATTCTGTACACACACAAACAAACACACATAGAGGCAAGACAAGACACAGATGTTATGGATAAGGAAGGAAAATAAAGTCTGAGAAGCACAGTTTTAGCACCCAACCGGATTACACAGGATGAGTTGTTGTCTTCAGTTTTTTTTCACCCAATTCTTTTCTACTGGTATAAGATTGTGGATACACCAATTCTCAGTCTTTCTTGCATCAGTTGAGGATTTGCCCTTTCAGTGCCTCTGAAGGTATTTTCCTTCCCCTTTTTCACTTTTAACAAGGGAATTTGCAGAGATCAATTTACAGGAAAATTGAGTGAGAACAGTTACCATGAGATTTTCTGGTACTTACTCACTTATTCTATTCAGGGTTATACAGTCAATTTTCCAGCAGAGAGATTCTGCATCTGGAGGTTGGTGTCTGCAAGGGGAGCTGCTGATCTTTCGTTTCAAAATACAAACAAGGAAAATAGCTTGAATAAAACAAATGTAAGACTAGGAGTCCTTTCATTCCATAAAAAAAACAGGAGGGAGAGAGAAATGTTGGGGTTTTTTTTGCAGGCCAGAATTTTCTGTTTATTGACACCACACAAAGCCTACAGTCACCTGCCTAGGAGCCAATTAATCCTGAACCTACAAAAACCGGCGCTAATTGGAACACTAGTTAAAAGCAACCTCAGCAAAATTGCCCTGACTACACATGAGCAGTGCCATTCTGCCTCGAATTCTCCTTCCCTACTTGAATAGGGCAATATTGTAAATACAAGTTACAACGCTTGTTTTCAAAATGGCAAACATTTTCCACAGATTCCCTGTTTTAAAACAGTATGTCTTCCCATTGTTTCATCCGCAGTCCAAACCTTGTCAAACGTTTTATTTATGGAATGAAAGGACTTGTGTTACATTTGTGTTATTCAAGCTATTTTCCTTGGTTGTATTTTGAAACAAAGATAAACAGCTCCCCTTGCAGACACCAGCCTCCAGCTGCAGAAGCTCTCTGCTGGAAAATTGACTGTATAACCCTGAATAGAATAAGTGAGTAAAACATTTCTAATATTTCTAGTGGTCCAAATATCATGTATTCAGTTAGGTAAAACAGCATTGTGTATACACATGTCTTGAATTTCTGCATGTATTTTATTTATTGCAGATTGTTTTTCCCCTCTATTTGTCCACCACTAACAATAATATTTTAAAGAAGTGGTGATAGCCTAAGATTAAACATGCTCAAGAATTTAAAATCCAGATGTACAGTTTGACTGTTTTCTGACCTCTGCTATAAATCATGAGTTCATATCAGACAATCCCACTTTAAATATGCTGTAAATACATAATATGGAAGGCAGAAAAGATAGAGATGGCATGGTCTGAAACGGTCTAGGAAAAAGAGTGGAGTAAACTAAGTCATTTGCATTTTAAGTAAATGTTCTGAAATAATAGACAAACAGTCCTGTAAATGTTTCTCTCAAAGACCAGAATCTTTCGGAATCAGTCATCTGTTTAATATTTTGTTCTAAGTCAGCCGTACAGACTTGAAACAGATTATTGGCAGATTGTGAGCATGGAAGTCCTTTTGCCAGAGCAATTCAAATCTAATTCTGCTTTATAGCTGTGATGGGCAAGCTGTTAGCATGTTTATTAGGCAGATGCAGGGCTGTTCTATAAACTGCAAAGTACAATGCAGGTCTCACAGGTACACGTGAGCATTAACAGTTTGCATTTATATAGTGCATTTAACTTTAACCAGTCCCTTTAATGTAATGGAAGAACTATAATTTCCACATGAGGTGGAATCTAAAACACAACTTAAAAGCTGTATTTTTTTTCTGAAACAGGCAATGCCCAGTGAAAATTAGAGGAACCACTCCAGACATTTTTTTGGGATGGGGTGAATATGGTATGTTACAGGGGAAACCATGCCAGAAAGCAAGTCCTGCATAGTTATGGTTTGCAGATTACACTTGAAACTTAAGGCTCACAAAGCTGAACTTTAGTAGAACAATTTATCGAGTATGCCATCCGCACTGTGATATATGTAGGGTGATAAGTTATGATGCTAGCATTTATTGTTCTGCATAGTCAGTTTGTTCAGGATAAATACTCTCATTTGTATTGTACAACATCCACTTTACTACTGCAAATATATCTACTCGCATATGAAATTCAATGTAGGATTTTTTCTTGCTGTAATGATGATCAATACAGCAAATTCTAATAAATTAAACCAAGGATTGCATTAAAGTAGCAAGTCACAGCACCTTGAATGCTTTCTTATA